ACAAACACGAAAAAGGAGGGAAGATAAAGACGATAGATGTTTGATAGGAAAGAAGAAGCAAACTACACTAGAGCACCCGCCAACCGCCCACCGATACAGCTCTAATACTCCCCTAACCTTCGAAATGACGCACCCCTATTAAAAGAGACCCAACAATGATCCACACTTACCGTTAACGGCCATGTTGCCAATGACTTTGCAGCCGTGTTCCTGAATGAGACTGTTTTCAGGGAAGGCTAACATCACAATCACCACATCCCGGGCACAACGAACCATAGGCAGACCACCCAGACTATGGTCTGAGGACAAACGTGACAGATTGAGACGTCAGTATGGGAGGGCTGTGGGGGGGGGAGGGTGTAGTCTCAATAACGTCTCCCAAAATGGGTACGGTATGCGGGTCTGGTCTAATATTTGCACGCAAGTTTACCAGTAAATCACACGCACAGGCAACAAAAACAATAGCCACAACAATAACAACAGCTAGATCATCTACAACAGAATGAACAACAACAGCAACAATAATTACAACAACAACAACAACAATAACAACAACAACAATAACAACAACAATAACAACAACAACAACAACAACAGTAGCAATAACCGTTTCAGAAAATAGTATAATTTACTGAAACCAGTTTCAAGGACGTTAACCAAATCAGAAATAAAAGCAAAAATAATAGACCCTCCCTCCCAAGCAATTTCGACATTAACACTTCCATTCCCCATTCACCAAATCAACGCCATTGCCAACACGATAAACAACGACTTTCACAACAACAGTGAACCACAACATTTAAAACAACGAAACAACCATATTGCTAACCAGAAACCATAACAATAACAGTTACGATATAAGAATCAACGAGAAACAAAGATATGTACTACACCAGAGAAAACTACATTGACACGACCACAGTCAACGAACACCATTAGTAAAACAACATTAACACGAACAGAGACAACGACATTTACATCATCAACAAAACGACATTAACACTAACAGAAACAACATTTACGTTAACAGCAAAACGACATTAATGCGACCAAAGGCTACGACATTTACAAAAACAAATTTAAAAAACATCGACAAACCGAAACAATCACATTCTACAACACCAAGAAGCGACAGTAATTAATAGGATCAGAAAACAAAACGACATTGCCACGACAAACACGACATTTACAACACCAGAAACGGGTAAGGACATTAACTTGACCAGAAACAGCGACATTACCATCGCCCAGCACCAGTTGGCTAAGAGTGATTAACGTTATCTCCAGAAGTTCCACGCTCTCCGGGAAGTTCACCAACACGTTCTGAAGCAGTTGTCTCGTGTTCTTCTCGGAGCATACCGCCTGGACTGTGTGATCTGGACACGAAAAAGGGGGAAGGAGGGGGGTAGAGGTGCCCCGGAGGGGGGGAGAGAGAGATTTAGTTATATTACGATTTTTTCACTGCACCTGTAACACAAATAGGTCGTGTAAGTGCCGAAGTGTAGATGTGTTGCAACTAGCGAGTAAAATACGAGGAAAAAAATAAGGATCGATAAGGACAATAGATGTTTGATATGAAAGTATGAGCACTTGCAAACCACTTATGGGGAGATCCTGTTCTTTTGTGTGTGTGTGTGTATTTGCAAAGTTTTCGTCGTTGCTGTTGTTTTCTTTGTTTGTTTGTTTTTTGTGTTTGTCTGTTTTTTAACCGAAACGATAACAGTCAGATAGTGCAGAGAGAAAGTAGAATAAATTAACTCCTGAAAGGGGATTATCGTGGCCTAGAGATTAAAATGTTCGCCTCTCATTCATTAGATCCCGGGTTTGAATCCTGATAGCGACGGAAAATTTTCTTTTCTAAAATGTTCCGCTTTCACATCCTTTCCTGCTCTCTTACAATTTTCTGTCATCTGCTTTCGTCTCCACTTTCTGCCCCCACCCACTCACCTCCCTTGCTCCCTCCCCTGGGCTTCTGACTCTTTCTGAAGCCTCTCTACTGCTTTTCTTTGGCTATTTCTTACTGCTGTCTTTCAGCCACACCCCTGATCTTATGGTAGGAAAGATCTACAACTAGCCTTCTCGGACAAGGGCGAAAAATCTCGGAGGTCCCATGTGCATGTTGCCCATGTTAAAGATCCCATGGTGGTCCAAAATCTATAAGAGTAGGCTTCAGCCGCCACCTGGGTAAAATTCAAAATTTCCTACAAACTGAAAATATTTGGTGTGTCCAGCACGTTCATAATAATACGCCCTTATGCAGTTGCAAACGCCTTAAAACACTTACCAAAAACACCCTTTAAAGATAGAGAGAGAGAGAGAAAGAGAGAGAGAGAGAGAGAGAGAGAGAGAAAGAGAGAGGGGGGAGAGAACAACAGAGGGGAGGGAAGAAGAGAACAGGAAGAAACAATGAAAATAGCGAAAAAAGAGAAGAAAAAAAGATTAGAAGACAGATATACGCATCCTGAACAGAAGGAACAAGCACAAGAAACATCATAAAAGCGCCATCCAGTCTTTTCCTCTCACCACAAGCGCTGAGATTACACAGGACTCGGATGCCATAGTCCTGTAGGTTCTCCTCTTGAGAGTACTCCTGTAGCAGGTCCAGGATAGCAGCGACTCCTCCAAGACTCACCAGCTCTTCGCAAGTGGGCTCTGGAGATTAGTAAGACATTGGTATAGGGTGACCGCCCCTTTCAACGCTTGCATTGCATCATCATCAAGTCAGTGTTAATGTCAGATCTCAGACAGAAATCGGGGATCATGGTTTTCCATTCATTCATTTGCAATGAAACTCTCTAAAAAGCTACCTTATCCTGATCTATCCCCGTCACCCATCTATTTAGCAGCTCTAGGAAGGCTGCTCGGTGTCAACCCATATAAAAACTGTAAGTTAAACCTCTGAATCTGACGTCCATCTCTGAGAGGACAAAGCCAGCTGGGTGGAGAGTCTTGACTCCAACATTAACTGAATCGAGACTTTCTTGTGATTTTTGCTCGCAGTGTGGAGCTGGTCTGGTAGTATATCTATGGGTTTTTAACTCCCCAAAAACAACACAAGTTCGAACCACGGGAAACCGCTACACGGTCTAGTAAGATACCAAATTATGAACTTACGTGCTCCTGTGTGGAAGGGAAAACAGGTTTGGGTTTGCACAGTGAGCAAGACAACAATAACATCTTTAAAGTCCTTACATTAATGTTTAAGATGTCTTTAATTGGTATGTTAATGTGGTATGATACTTTAAATATATAATATGGCCGAGTCACATATTATGACAAAAACAAAGAAAGGTTTTTGAAAAATAGGTATTCCAACGTAAAGCGCATTGAGCTACATTTTTTGGAAATGCGCTATATAAATGTTATATATTATTATTGT